CCCCCCCCCCCCCCCCCCTTTTTATTAAACAATTCATACTTGGAAAATAACTTTTTGTGCCAAATTTTTTTCAAATTCTGATAAAATAAAAAATGCATCTATTCTCAGTCCATGGTTTCCCATCGAACGTTTAAGATGTCTTTCCGGTGGTAAGTAACAATTTAATAAAAATAATAACTTAATTCCCCCCCCCCCTCCAAGAGATGAACTATGCACTTTAAAATTTTTTAATTATGTATCTATTGATGCTATTTCAATGGCGTAAAACGGACCTTCTTTTGCTTTTGTTCCTGCAGAATCTGCAGGTACTTGTTTTTGGTGGAACTTCTTTTTTTGGTTTTGCTGCCATTTATGGCTTTTCAAAATTGGATCCAAATTATTAATCAGACGATATCGAAGATAATAATTCCGCATAGTTTTATTTGCATTTTATTTTCTGGACACTGAAGTATAAAAAAAAGTGTGAATCTGCCTACTCCCAACGGGACTGAGGACGACCGTCGCTTTGCAGCTGGAGGAAGTCCTGGAAGGGGAGCGGAAGATGAGGGGAGAGTACGGGGCCGGCGAGGGACTGTGGGAGCGGCTGGGTGACCTCCAGCGGAGGCTGGACGACGAGCGGGAGTCCTGGACGAGGAAGTGGAGGGTGTTCCACGACGGGCAGGAGAGGCAGGCGAATCTCATCTCCAGGCTGCAGGCCAAGGTCGGCTCCCTCCTTCCTTCCTTCCTCCCTCGTCGCGAGGATGGCGGTCGCGGGCCGTCGGGGGGAGGGGAGGGGTTGGGTTGGGTTCGGGGTGGTCGTGGCTGTTTTTAAAAAGGGAAGCGTGCCTTCCGAGGACTCCGGAGGCAGTAAATTGGGGCAGTGCCGATGGCGGTCTTCGGGTGAGCGTTGGGGTCGATGCCGAACGCGGGAAGTCGAGGACGGGAAGGCCGACGAAGCAACGGGCTGTAAGCACGCACGGGTTCCGTCGGGAAAGGACCGTTCGGCCGGGTGCCCGATGCCATCGTCTGACGCGGTCGCTTCGGCAGGGAATGGCACAATCGCGAGATATATTTGTCTCGAGCGCGAGCTAAAGCATCGATTCTTTGCAAGAAACATATCCCGGGCAGAAAGTGGAAATCCCTAGAAGAGAATTCTGCGGCGGTTTCGCACGAGAACGACCGGAAGGCACGTGTCGTCGTAATCGGCGGTGCGAAGGCCGATGATGCGGCGATGCCGTATCGGCGGCCGATCCCGGTAGTAGCCGATGCATCGGTGCAGCCAGACGGATATTTAACCGGTGTATCGTCGAACCTATTAAATCGGCGATATGATAAATTTCATCCATATTTGTCTGGACCGAGATGAGGCTGCGAGCGATCACGAAGAAGCTAAGGAGTGTTTCCTATCACATTTATCCTTTTGAGTTTTTTTTTTTTCGCTTCGAGATGAAATGCCGACTCTGTCGGGAACATGCACCTCGATTCGCAATGCGAGCTCCTTGATATTCTTGTCTGTCCGGCAGCGTCCGTCGATCGGGCGATTCGTCGACGTATTCGCGACTGCATCCGATGAATAAATAAATAAATAAATAGCGCATCGGCTTCCAATATTTGAATCGGCGCTGCATGGTGCGGGCCAGATGTAAGACGGGAGGGCATCCGATGCCAAGGAAGACCGGGGAGCGAGGCGATGTTAGAGCAAAAGGGGGGCTGAGAGTCGCTCGCGGCGACATCTAGTGCGTTTCCACGCAACTGAAGTGGAGGGCGAGACCCCGAGTGAATATTGCCTTAATTGCCCGGAAGGGCTGGATCGGTGGCTTTTCGTTCGTAGAGGTCGGTGTGGGGCGACAGGGTCGCATCTCGACCGAGTCGTCGCTCGAGCGATGATATGTGATCGATTTGGCTTGGTTTTTTTTTGGCGCGTGGAGCTTCCGATCGAGGCTTTGCAGGGCCGTAGCAAAGGGACGGCCACCGTTGATAGTAAGACCGGGATGGAGAAATGGCGAGACGTCGATGTTCGTGGTGAATGTGCGCGATTGCTCGTCGGACTTCTAGGGAGTAAAAAAGAATTTGGGGGTCGGTGTATTTCCTCGACTTGGGATTTGGGTATCGAGCCCGCTTCGAGAACTCGGCCGTGATTGTAGTCTGGGTAATTGCCGGGAAAGGGGGGCATGGGGGGCAAGGGGGGGCAAGGCAGCCCTGCCCGTTATAGGCCTCTATCGTAATGATTTTTTTATCGGCGGGAAGAAGGGAAGCCCAGCGGATTTCCCTAATGGCTAGGGACTTTTGATGGATAGGGATGACTGATTCCAGGATGATTGGGGCTCATGAATGATATAGGCTATTTATGAGGTTATCGCTCGCTCTCCGGGGAGATGTTTCTCGCACGACAGTCCTCTTTTTCTTCCGAAGTTTCGAGATGAATGGGGGGGAGGGGGGGGGAGCCCTGGGGTACCTCTTCGTGATTGTCTCAGACGGAATTGGTGATGAGGGTGTACTCAATCCTTTATTTTTTTGGGTCCTTGATTCATGTCCTTTGCGTGCGTCCCTCTATCTGTCGCCTGTCGGTTCGATCTCATTCCTGCTGTCAATCCCCCCCCCCCCCCTCTCCCCCCTTTCATCGTGTGACTTCGATCCAGGGGAAGGAGATGAGAAGAGACAACGCTAAGAGACTTCGGGTCCTCGTCTCCGTGGACTTGTTTCCCCTTCAGACCGTGCGTGACCGCTAATGAAAGAGGGGACAAGGGGGGTAGGGGGGTGGGGGGCAAGGGGGAATATAGTGAAAAGAAGGCCAACCAGTGGGTAAGAGACTGTTTGATGTCGTGATCCGATGTCTCCCGGCACGTCATCCCATGTCAGATTATGTTTGCCTCTGCCCTCCTTGGGGCCTCCCAGGGGGGGAATGACTGCTGGATGGGATTAGGGAATAAATTATGCAGGGTCCCGGGATGAATTGGCATGCAGGGGACGGATGAGGGACGTCAGTGTGGCCGGTCGCCTCTACCCCTTCACCTGCACCCGTGCTGTGACCACCCTCACCCTCTCGAACTCGGAGAGGTTTGTAGAGATTTAAAAAAAATCCTGAATATGGACCGTTCCGTGTTCGCAGTTGCTGCAGTACCGGCAGAGGTGTGAGGAGTTGGAGACGAACCTGCACGAGACCGAGGTGCAATATGCAGATCAGCTCCGCGGTAGCGAGGAGGAGCACACCCGGGACCTGGAGGCTGCCCTCGCCCGACTGGAGGACGAGCAGAGCAAGTGAGTCCTTCGCCCGTCGAATGGAGGGAGATGATCTCGAGTCGTGGATGTGGACAGTGCTTCGTCTGGTGCAAAAGATGCCTTGATGAGAAACTGATTATTAAAAAAATAATAATGGGGTTCTCTGTTGAATTTGTTTCTTGACTTTATGCCTTTCTGTTCATGACTTCATCCTTTTCTGTTCATGACTTCATGCTTTTCTGTTTATGGCTTCATGCCTTTCAGTTTGTTCTACAACACAAATAATGACTCATTGAGGGACCATTCTGCATGTGGAATGTTTTTTTTTTTCAAATAATTTCTTTTACATGTGTACTTATTGTGATTTTTTTATCCTCTTTCAGAAACAGAGATTTGAGTCATGTGAATACACTGCTGAAAGAGCAAGTTGAACGAGCTCAGGAGGAACTGCTTCGTGCTCAAGAACAGTTTCAGAGGAAAGAGGAGGATTGGAAGAAAGAGGAAGAGGTATGCATGACACAGAACACAGAGGAACCCTAAAGAGTTTCTTTTCATTCATGGCATTGACTGTTGATGGGATTTTAGCATGTCGAGAAGCATTCTCGGCCTCTCACCTCCCCCTTTTTGTGAATAGAGGAATTTAGCAGAGCAAAGTGGTAAAGGGGGAGTCCTTTGCCATTGTGAGGGGGGAGAGGGAATGACAGGGTAGAGAGGGCCTGGCATGCAGGGCAGGGAGGGCATTACGTGCCATTAACCTCCCCCCGTCATTGGTCGCAGGGCTACACGACCTATTTCACCTCCGAGCACACGCATCTGCTCGCCCTGTGGAAGGACGTCATTGGCTTCCGGCAGGGGTTCAACCAGTTGAAATGGGCCACTGAGAAGGACCTCGCCCGGGTGAAGCTCGACATCGGCCGGGCCGGTCAGGAGGTCTCGACCGCTTGTCTCCGGGCCGTCTCTCAGGCTCAGCTCGGCACCGCCGAGAAGGTCTGTTCTTTTCGCTGCCCAGCCGCTTCCACCCCGTAGAATCTCTCCCGATTTGCATACCCCTCGTGCATGAGCGAACGAAGCGGGACCCGCTGCCAGCCATGCATAGAGACATTCGCAAGCGTCAGGAAGGCTTGAAGGTACCCCGTGCCTATCCTTAAGGAATCGGTTTGACAGTAGTGCTCCCCTTGCCTTTACTCAGTAGATTCATTTTCATATATGCCTGAGAGTTTTTGTTTCTGTTTCCATTGTATGAGTATCATCACATTTATCTATTGAAAACACTTGAGTTCAAAATTATGCAGTTCCTTAAAGTCAGTTGAGATTTGAACTTTAGGATGCAGTGATAGACTTAACATTTGACAATTTTCTTATGTCATCTTTTTAAGTTAATACTTTAGGGAGACTTTAATATGAAAAGAGATTCATATTCATAGATTTTTTTATTATTTCAGACTTCTCAAATATCTAGTTTATGGTGATGAATTGGAATTATAATTGAGGGTGAATGGAATTGGAACTGGAATTGAATGATTCAGACTGATTTTCTGAATTCCACAACACTCATCAGTGATAATGAGGCCCTCCCATTATCTAGTTCAAGGACTCAAAGAAAATGTTATTATAGCATGAAATTCATCCTTTCTACATGGAATCAATTAGAATTTTCAGAATGCAGAGGCATGGTTGCTCATGAAACCTTTCTGCTTGGGGTGCATAACAATCTTTCCCTCATTCATATTACAGAGCATGCTTATGAAAATTCAGATGTTGGCTTGATGCCAATTGAATGATGTCAGCATTCATAGCAGGCACAATAACGGTTTTCTTCTTGTGTGGCACAGACAGCCGACTTGTGGCAGCGTCTGGGGGAATTGCAGAGGAAACAGAGTCAGTGGAACATGGAGAAGGAAAGTCTGGAGAGCCAGATCAAGGAGCACCAGGCCCAAGCCCAGAAGCTTCGGGTTCTGCTCGACGAGAAGGAGACTCTCATTCAGAGTCTCAGGAGGGACATCCAGGAAGCGGTAAGAACTCAGCCTTGTCTCTGTGATCTTGGGCCCTCGCAGGGTAAATCAACGAGGAGAGTGTCTTTTCGTCATTCATGCCGATAATGGTGAGATGATCATCATTATGGGATAATCTGTCTTGCTAATGATATGGTGGAGGGAATGATTCATAGTTTGATGAGCAATCATTCCTTCATTGTCTGTTGATGATCCTTTGTGATGCAAAAATGACATGTCAGAACCCATGACAATATGCAGTTAATCCTAAATGCAAGACTAAATGCAAGACTTCCATCAGACTTCTTTCCTCCTCCATAAGAAAGATGCATGTTGGTTGGAATTGAAGTTGTGTGTTTGGTATGGAGCAGGATGCAGGCCATTCTGTGAAGTCCAGGGGTCCCAGTGCACCCGATCCCATGGGCGATGGTGAAGGTGGGATGTCGTTAGGGAAGATGAAGGATGAGGTCTATCTCCTCCAAGGAGCTCTAAGGGACATCGCCCAGCTGGTGGTAGACGATGCCGATCGACAGGACGGAGAAGAGCACGATAAACCACAGAGCATCTTTCTTCGATCTTCTGGTCTCCTTCGAAGCCCATATAGGTACTGTGTGTGGCATTTCCTTGCCAACTCATTCCCTACTTTTTATATTCTGTGATGAAGGTTTTTTCTAGGTTCTTTGTGCATGCTTATTGAGGAGAAATATTGGTCACTTATGATGTCAATCACATTCAGTTCATTCAGGTCTAGGGGAAGGGCAGAATTCCAACCAACCTCTCCTGCCCTTGCCGACGGCACGGTCTCCGCTGTTCAGGCTGCACTCAATCGCAGACAACTTCAGGTCCATGACCTCCAGGTGAGACTCTGAAATTTTGAGGTTCTTGTGCTCCCATCAGAATATAGATACAGCTGGAAAGTTGAGGTTTATGGTTGTGCTTCATGTTCTCAGGTGAAATTGAGTTCTGCCAGAGAGCAGCTGATTCTGGTGAGAAAACAAAGTGAAAATGCAGAGGAGTCAGTTCGGAGTCTGGAGAGGCAAATTGAAACCCTTCGCAATGATAACACTCAGCTGCAGCAAGTCAAAGAAGAATTGGCCAAAGACAGGGATCGAATCTCCTCTCAAATGGAAAACCTCAAGGCCAATTTATCTTCCCTGGAGAAGTCCAAGGCTGCTATGGACAAACAGGTGCTTCTTCAATCTATTTACATTCCATCATTTAACTTCTGCCTCTCATCCTGAATCGTTTTGGAATGAGTAGATGGAGAGCCTGATAATGGAGAAGGAAGGTCTACGGAGGAGCAATGAGGAACTGAGAGTTGGCAGTGAGACTTTGGAGGAAGAGAAGGATTATTTAGCCTCCGAGATACAGCACTTGAAGGCCGAGCTTCAGAAGAAGTCTGGGTTCTCTATATTCAATGATGGCCACTTTGTGATTCATTATTCGATATTCATTTTCTTTTGGTTGGAATGCCTTGCAGTGAGAATCAGATTCAGAGCTCGGAAGAACAGATCACGAGGCTGAAGGAGGAGGTGGTGTCCCTCAAGAGCTCCCTCGATAAGTCTACCCTGGCCAAGGATGTCCTCGAACAGGAGAAGAACGACCTGGACAATGCCCTCCATCAGTCTGATATGAGAAGAGGTATGTGGGTTTTGGTGCATCTTTTCAAAATGCAATGGTGCCACAATGGTAACTCATATTTTGAATGAAGGTCAACTGGAGAGCGAAGTGAACAGATTACGGTCAGAGCAGAACAGTCTCAGAGATGCCCTACTCAAAGTACAAAACCTCAATGATACCATTGGCCAGGATAAGCACAGTCTCACTGACACCATCAAACAGGTTGCAATTTTTTTTATCCCCATGGGAATGACCTCCATAGTCATGCAAGAAGCCTTCTCACACTCTTGTTTGCTTACATGATACAGATGGAAGCAGGAAAGGCTCTGCTTGCAGCTGAGAAGGTGGAACTGAGCAAGGAACTGACCTTGCTGAAAGAAGAACATGCGAAACTTGAAGAATCTAGAATGGATCTGGAAGCAGCAAAGATGAATCTCGAAGAACAGCTCCACTTGGCTAGTGTTGATAAGGAAAAGGTTTTATCTACTGAGGTGCCTTCATTCTCATCATTGCAGAATGGGTATCATCATGACCCCCAAATGACTTTTCTCAGGTTGAGAGTGAGTTACGAGAGAGGAATAAGGAAAGGAACGATCTCCTGATGGAAGTGGCTGCCCTGGGGAGGCAGAAGGCTCTCCTGGCCGACGAGTTAATCACTGCACGTAAAGAAACCGAGCGGCTCAACTCGCTCTGCGACCAGAATGAATCTCATAAGGAGGAACTCCACAAAGAAATGTCCACACTTCAGGTTGGACCTGGTTTTGACATCAGATTTTCATAATGCTGTTGGTTTGCTGATGTATTTTTCTTGGCACAGGTTCAGCTAAAAGCTGCCGAGAAGGATGTGGCAAATCTGCGAGAGACCCTGGCGACATTGAGAGCAGGGAAGGAAGCCTTGGAGATGAATCTGTACGAGGCTCAGGCGGCGTTGTCTCAGCTGGAGATCCGGAAAGAGCAGCTGGAAGGGGAGAATCAAGACCTCCTGATGAAGAAGGAGAGCCTGAGCAAGGAACTGTCGACCGAAAGGTCCGAGCGCTCGGCGGAGATGGAAAACCTCAGGACCCAGTTGTCTGACGGAATCAGGAGACTGGAGTCGGTCGAGGTCGAATACTCCAAGAAGATGAGGGAGTTGAAGGCCGACTACGAGGAGAGGCTGAGTGCCACCGTCGACGATAAGGTATCCGTAGCCAGATGATCACTTGGCTTCACTGGAAATTCACTTTCACTAGAAGAGAACTGATGCCTGAGGGGATGATTGCAGACAAGTCGTGTGGGAGAGTTGGAGAAGCAGATCTTGGAGTTGACCACCCAGATGAGAAGAGAAAAAGAAGCCCTAATGAATGAGAAGGAGGAGGAGACAGAAGCTCTGCAAAAAGAAATTGAAATGCTAAAAAGAGAATTTGACGAGGCCCTCGTCCTGGCTGAGAATGATAAACAGCAGGGTCTTCTTCTTGGTGAGCATTAGAGTCTGTTCAACTGCATTATGGAAATGCTTTGTATTTAATTTGTGCTTGTCATTAGAGGCTGGTCCGTCAAAATCAGGTTTTCTGAGAATTCCCTCTGACTCTTGGTAGAACTCCAAGGGCAAAAATGGAATCTTATCCATACATAGTGTCAATGACAGGTCATGACATCTGATGGTACCTTTGTTTGGTTATTTCTGGAATTCATGCAGGAATGGGTGCTCAATGAGCTTCTATAAGAGATGCATATTTGGCAGAATAGTAGTCTTAAAGTGGCTATGATTCACTTGCAATGTCATCATCACAAGTGGTTCATTTGTGCTTCAGATTTCTTTCCTCTGGCATCCACACACCATTTCATCCTCATCCTTGTCAGGCATCCATTAAACCATGCCATTTTTGCATATATGATTGCCATGTGGCAATTCTTTTGAACAGTCATCAGGTCTTTGCATTCTATAGTTTTTTTTTTCTCAAATTATATCTTGCTATATGTGGATGATGTGTGGATATTAAGAGAGGGAATTTTGAAGGTTCGTGGCCTTTATTTGAAAATATTAAATAATTCCCAAAACTATTCATTCTGTTTGCTGCCATGTGTTGACTATGCTTGGCATGCAGCTTGAAGTCATGCTACTCTTGGTAGTGAATGTAATCAAGTGTACAAGGAAAACAAGCTCATTTTAGGTAAAAAGCAGCAACCATGAGGGAAGGATATATCTTTAAATGTTGGAAATTTCTGAAAACCTGTGAAGGCAAGGAGGAATAGGAGAAATGAAAGACCTAGCTCTGATCACTTAAAACTTTTTCACTTCCAATTCTTACATGTCATCTAGTAAGAGAAGATATATTAATATTTGTATTAGATTCAGCCAGTTGCAAGAGAAAAACTCGGGGAGTGTGGGCCAAGTCTCTCATGGAGAAAACAAGTGCAGATTCCTTGACTTGGTAGAATGACACATTTCTCCCATCTCCCTTGTGACTAATGGCTACCCCAATTCTATCCCTAACATCTACTTTGGTAGCCTTAGAGCATTCCTTTGGCACATTTGGAAACATTCACTCTGTGCAGGAAACTTGTCTCACAGTTGGGCATTCCTACAGAATTTTCTTCTTAGCAAGTAAGCTTCATCTTGACCGTGACAAATCTCTTTTGCCTGCAAAAGCAACAGCAGCCTTCTGCTGTAGTCACATCAAGTCTTAATGCAGCTCTGAGGCTACGTGCAGATGTCTATGAAGAAGAGGAATCCTGCTACAGCCCATCTGATGAACATCATTGGTTAATTAGATGGGTCAGAGTCAGATGGAGCCAACTGCAACAAATGTGGAGCAACCTGATGTTACTTTCTTGGACTTTGAATAAAACTTAGTACTGGCTTTGCAAAATGTTAGACCTGTCTTTATGACAGAAATTTTCAGATTTTCCATGTTTCTCCTCTTTTTTTCTTTGGAACATTTATTGAAATATATTCCATAAAATATTTTTTTTAATTCATACAACACTAGTGCTAAGATAGACTTAGTTTAAATAATGTGACACTAGAGAGAAATATTTAGGGAAAAAAACTAAAGTAAAGGAAGTAAGGAAGAGAATGGACCCATACAATGATACCCACACTGTTTGTATCCATTCAACACCTATGTGAATTTTTATGTCTAAAGACTAACTCCAATGTGAGGTAAAAAACTTGTTATTGCTCATCTTCAGTTTGACAGTCCAGAGTTTTCATCCCCTTTGTTAAAAATACCATCTGAATGCTACTTTTCCAAGGATTTTCCAAGGAAGAAAGGGATTTTCATTATTTATTTAAAAGTTCTAGAAAGGCCATAAATGCTGTGTTATGTAGGTACAGATAGGTAAATGGTCAAATACATTGCCTGTTGCCAAATTCCACCCTTTTGCTAAGTTTATCAGTTCTGGACAGCAGCAGAGGGGAGATTGTTCCCACATGGATGAATTGTTGAGATGAGACTTATGTTCTTTGTAGCTCAACAGGAGCAGAGTATCCTCCAGGAAAGGATAAACTCTCTGACCAAGGAAATGGAAGGAAACCAGAAAGAGGTGGAGCGCATCAAACGAGAGGGGAGCAGTCGGAGTGACCAGGATCGCTCTGAGATCTTCCTTCTTCAGGGGCAGGTCACCAAGCTGAAAAACCAACTCCATGACATGGCGTACTGAAATTTTCCATATTTGCACAGCTTTTGAGATGCTGACACCATGAGGGTAAGATTTCACTCTGTTGCCCTCATTTCAGTGCAGAGCAGGAAGCGAGGATTGCAGAACTGGGGGGAGAGCTGGAAGAAGCAAAAGGGGCTCAAGAAAATGCTGTAAAAGAGGCTTCCGAATTGAAGGCTCAGCTCCGTGTCTTGGAGGAGGGGAAGGCTCAGCTGAATCGAGACATCACAGAACTGCAAAGGAAAATAACCGAGAGCGAGAAGAAGCAAGACAACCTGAGGAAGGAACTCGAGGATGCCCGAAGGAGACTCGGGGAGGAGTCTCACGAGAAGGATGCTTATCACCAGAGCAATAATGAACTCAGGGCATTGATCAAGAAGAGCGAGGCAGAGAAGACGGAGGCGAAGCGCGTGTCGGAGGAAGTCAAGAAGCGACTCGCTGGTTGGCATTTGGTTTCCTCTTCTCTTGCTTCTGCATACATTTGATATGGGAGATGTAAATCAAAATTCCCTCTTTTCAGTATTGGATGAAAACAAAAGCCACTTAGAAAAGGAGATATCTGCTCTGCGCGACGGGATCAGAGAAGCCGAGAGGTCGCAGGCGGACGCCCTGAAGGAGATCTCCGATTACCAGAGACGGATGACGGCCCTGGAAGGAGAGCTGCAGGTCAAAGATGCTGAGCTCACTGATGTCTCTGGCAAGCTCCAGCGGGAAGAGGAGAGAGGCGATGCAGCCCGAAAGGAGCTTGCTTTTCTCAAGACCAAGGTTGGTAAATATTTCCTTTTCAGTTTGATCAGGAATCTGTCTGTGAACTGATTATGACTTGTCCTAGCCAAAGAGCAGCTGAAACTGGATCTTGACTGATGAACCAAAACTTCAAGTCTTCAATGGTTACATAATCTCTGAACATTTTTTACCAAAACTGAAATCAATGTCACAGTGGTTTTAGCTGACCAATGGGATTGGAATTGCTGCCGAAAAATAAGTAAAAGTCACTGCTCTTGTTGAAATGGTTGACCAAAAATTGGTTTCAGATGTTGGGCTGCTGAGACAGAATTTGCCAGACCTGCACAAATATATTTATGGCAAAAGTGTTCTTGAAGAATGGCAAGTGTTTGTGTGAGCAACAAAGTTCACCTATACAAAGATTTTGCGCAGGAGATCCAAAAGGATTTTTATGCAAAGATGGTTAAAATCCTCAGAATGCACTGACTGCACTGTTTCAGCTATATTGATTTTGTTGACAGCATTTAGTACAGCTTCATTGTTTTTAATAATCCATTAATCATGGGAGAATATGCAGCTGCATTGCATTTCTTGAGGGAGCATCCAAGAATTTATCGATGACAAGCCACATATTCTAGGAGCAAATGTGGACTGAGCTGGTTATGACTATGTTTTAGTTGGAATTTTATTCAATTTAGGATTTGCTCATAGAAATGGGACTTTGAAACATTTGAAATCCTTGGAAAAGTCAGTGCAAATGCTGATAACTATCTTAATGGTGGTTTGATTTTTCGTTAATTCTTCAATGAATTATTTTCATTTCATGTTCTGCTTATTGATCTGAGATTGTGAAAAATAGACTATATTTACCTTTGACAGGCTTTATCAAATGCTTTATGTATGTGATGCAAGAAAAGCAATGGTTGGGTTCAGTCTGAGAATGAAGATTCAGCAAGTAATGACTTTCATGTAACATGGCATTCCAAAGGTAATTGCCTCTGAGGCAAATCATCTTGAAGGAAGCCCTGTTCCTCCTGTCCCTGTGGCATACAAAATAAAAAGAGATGACTTTTATATAATGCCTTCTGTGCAATTAATACCTCAATGCTGCCTCTGTGCTGGGCATGGGATATCAGACATCCTTATATTGAATTACATATTGGTGGTGCTCTGAGTCTCATTCCTGAGCAATATTTGACTCTGTTTCACTGATGCATACATATTCATCAGGGTGCTTTTTTCAACTGAGGCTGTTGCCAAAATGGCATTGAAACTCTGATCCCTCTCATGGTCATAAATGCAGGCAGCAGATGTGGAGATGGAGCGAGATGGTCTCGTGAAAGATATCGAGGCGCTGAACCGTAAGTTTTTTGACCAGGAAGAGACAGTAACCGTGAACCAAGACGTCATCGAGAAGGCACTCGAAGATGCTGCCGAGACGCAGAAGAAGCTGGAAGATGAGAAGCGGGTCCTGGAAAGCTCTCTCGGTGACTCCTCTGCTCTTGTACAAGAGCTCAAGGTGCTCATTCCTCTTTTCTACTATATGCATTCTGTTGGGGTGGGAAGTAGAAGCAATATGCTGCTGTTGGGTACTTAGTGTACTCCTAAGTGCTAACTAACCTACAGCATTGATTCTGAAAAAGAGAAATGTAAAAGAACTATAGTTTTGTCCTCACTGCATGTACCTGCCTCTGGATGATCTGCCCGATTTTGGGTGCATGGCTTCAATTTCCCACTATGTTGCAGATGAAGTTGAGCAGTGCAGAGTCGAAGATGGTGGCCCTGGAAGCCCAGATTTCCCACTTGGAAACAAGTAAAAGGGAAGTGGAGGGGAAACTGACTTCCATTTACTCGTCTCTGAGGAGAGTGGCAGGGGTGCGTCTGGACGGAGGGGGATGGTCGCAGCCGTGGAGGCCTCCGAGCCCCTTGCGACGCCGGCCAGGGATGAAAGGTACGTCTGCAGGGGGTGGTGTATGTGTGTTTTTGGCATTCAGAGCTTTTGAGTGATGCATTTTCATGAAGGTCCGGTGTTGGACGAAGAGGACGAAGACGTACGAACGACGAGGACGTCGAGGCTGTCCGAAAGCGTTGCCGAGAAGGAAGGCCTGGTCGAGATCGACCCCGAAGCCGTTCGCATCGGACTACGTGAACTCATGCAGCAGGTCGTCAAGATCGAGAAGGAACGAGTGAGTCCATCGTCGGGGTGATCTCTCGTATGAGTCGTGATTCTCCCATCTAATATGGACCCCACATCTGTTCCACACAGGATGATGCTTTGGCTCACAGCGTTACATTGGGGAAGGAGGCGGAAGAGCTGAAAGAGATACGGAAGGACCTCGAAGACCGCGTCTCTTCCTTGCAGAAATCCATCAGCAGCTGCGAAGGCGATAAGGCAGAACTAGAATCCAGGCTGCATCACCTGAGTCTCACACTGGCTGACAGAGTAGTCTTGAATTTTCTTGTCTTTGTTTTATGTTTGAACAAAAAATGACTATCAAAATTGTGCTAAATCTTACCCAGGAGGAAGGCATTACCAGTAAGGAGAAGGACCTGAAGCAACAGATTGAGAAGGTTGCCAACTTGGAAAGAAAGATTAGTGGTCTTGAAACAGGGAAAGTAACTGCTGAAGTAAGTGAAGTATCAGCTGTTGTACATCTTATCAGAGTTATTTGCTAAAGGGAGACAGGTTCCTCGAGGTTTCCTTTCACCTCTGTAGGAACGATTGGAGAAGATGCGCCAGTCGGAATCTCGATTGGAGAAGGAGAGGCGGAACCTACGAGAAGCCCTAGAAGCATCAGAATCCAAAGCCTCACGCCTGGAATTGGCCAAGAGGTCCCTTGAAGGAGACCTTCAGAGGATTCAGATGGCTTTGGTGGAAAAAGAGAATGAGAATCAGGTACGTGTATCGTGCGGCTAATCGGCACTGGCGGGATCGGCTAATCGGCGATTTTTGCAACACACGCGATATTAAATACGATGACTGTATAGGGGCTGAAAGAACGCTGCGAGGCTACGAGTCGAGATGCCAGGCAGCTGGAAGAAAAAGTGGCCACCATGGTGGGAGTGATCGAGCGACTGAACACCAGCCTGGAAACGGCCAATCAGGGCGAGTCCACCTTGAAGGAAAAAGTGGATAACCTGAGCAAGAGCCTCTCCGTGACGTCCACGTCCACCCAGAGCCTGCAAGAGAAGATTCAGCAGGTAAATGCCCCCCACCTCTCTGAAAACGATCGTGAAACCATCTTGAAATGCTTTGAAATGTTTTCAATTGGGAATTCCACCCCGTGCAGCTGCAGAAGCGAGTCGCAGAGAGCGAGGCCGAGCGTCGCATCCTGCAGGAGCGCTGGGAGAACGGGAAGGGGACGATCGCCGAGCTGCGACAGTCGAACCAGAGCCTCTCCGATCGCCTTCAGGCGCTTCAGGGCGATCTGAATGCAATCACCTTGGCTAAGGCACAGCTGGAATCACAGCTCAAGAACTCGGAAAAGGTGGATCTTCCATCCGGGCTCGTTCGGGATGGCCTTTCTGTTGCATTTCATCATCTGGTAACTTTTACGAATTCTTTCTGGGCTTTAGGCCGTGGCTCAGGTGAAGGGGAAGGAAGGAGACATGGAAGAGAAGCTGAAGAATTGTTACGAACAGCGCCAGGCCCTGTCCGAGCAGGTTGCCATCCTCCAGGCGAGTGTTGTGATTGCTGCTCCTATACGTCATGATCGACAATTGCATCCAAGGTGCAATGATGTCATTTAATGTCATGCAACAGAGGAAGGTGAACTACCTGGAGGCAGAGAAGAAGGAGTCCGAGCGGTCTCAGGTCCGCCTGGAGAAGGACAAGACGGCCCTGCGATCCATGCTCGACAAGGTGAGCCCATCCGTGCTCCACGAGGTGAACTCATCCTTTCCCAAGGTGAAGTCCATCCATCATGTGCTAAACTTCCCAAACGAGAATGCATCCCCAGTGTCTGTCTGAATAATCCCCCCTCTTCCAAGTCATACGCTTGCATGTGAGTTTCACAAGTTATTCCCTCATAAGGCAGAACGGAGACGATGACAGGTCCCTCATAAAGTCTTATGGCTGCTTTAGCTCATAATTCCTGTTTCTTGCCTGGTCGATTTCTGCTCCAGAATGCTGGGAAGATCCCTTCTCTTTTCATGCCTTATTTTTCCTGGCAGTGTTCGCCAGGTACATGAAATCTCATGTAATTAAGTACCTTTATTTTTAAAGTAACTAAACTAATTAAATTCGGACTCGAATTGATTCTCAAGGAGGTTAGGGAGTTGAAGTTTAACTTACTTTTCCATCGATTGCACCTTTAAAAACATCAGAGTTGTCTGGAGACTTTTTATGGAAAGCTGACAGGTTCTCGCTCCTTGAGCGTGACATCAAAAACTTCATACTCATGCTTCAGTGACCGTGCTGGTATACAAATTGGGAAATTCTTCAGGAGTTTTTTTTTTTTGTTCCTGATTTTTGTTGTCTTTCAGAGGCTTTTGTCAGAAAGCACAAAGGTCAGAATGCGAAGTAATCGGAAAAGTGTGAAAATATAATAGAAAAATGTCTTACTCTTGCAAGTAATAATTGGTACTTGTTTAAAGGTACTTATTTACCTGAATGAATCATTTTGGTGGCTTGTCACTAAAAAAAAGCAATCAAGCATGAAAGTAAAATCACCCATCCCATAAAATCTCGTAGCATAACGAACGACCTCTGAACTGACCCGTGTATAACTCCTGCTGTCCCCCCTCCAGTACATCTTTGCCGTAGAGGGCGTTGTCGGCGGGAGCAGAGGAGTAGTCTCCCGAGCTCTCATGCCGCCCCCTCCTCCTTCCACCCATGCCTCTTCCCCTTCTGTCTCTCTTCGTCCTTCCCCTGTCTCGGCCCAGGTACGCCAGATCTTCCGCGTTTCTCTCGCTTGAGTCTCGTGGCCCGTTTCCTCGGCCTCCGTACGTCCTAGCCGCTTGTCGTTCCCTGCTTTCGCCGTGCGACTCCCGTTCCTTCCCCCCGTCGAGAACGCCTCGCTCCCGTTTCAATCTCGCGTCGACGGCGTTCCAGATGGAGAGGGATCGTCTGCTCAGCGACGAACAGGCGAGACAGATCTCCGAGCAGCGGATGGGACTCGGTCACAGCCTGAGCGCCCTCGAGCAGGAGAACCAGGAGCTCCTCCGCCGGGTCCAAGTCCTGGAGAAGCAGATCGCGGAGATGGAGTCGGACCACGCCAAGCGACTCCTCGAGCTCACCTCCCGGCACAGACACGTACGCGAACGACCCGCGGCCCTGTCGACTCTTTTATCCGGAAATTGAGATGGGTGTTTTGCGCGACAGGAGAGCGTGTCCGAGTTGGGGCGAGTGAAGATGCTTCAGGAGCAGGCGGAGAAAGTCCTTCAAGCGAGAGAGAAAACGTACAAACAGCGCATCAAGGGACTCGAGGAGCAGGTCGGCCCCCGCCCGCATCCCACCCCTCGCACCCCCTCGCCCCCCCGACGTAACCGACCTCCCTTTGCAGGTGCAAGCCCTGAAGGAGCAGCTGAGCTCCGAGATCAAGAAGCGGCAGCTGTACATCCTCCGCACCTCCCGAGCGGGCGAGGACGTCCGAGAGCTGCGACAGAGCCTGGACGACTCCCTGCGGGCGGTGTCCCAGGACCCCGACCTCAACGCCCTGCTGCTGGAGCACGAGGCGAGGAAACTGGACCTGGCGCTGGGGCAGCACAGGGTCGGGGGGAGGGCCGGGCCCTCCTCGATCGTGCGGTCGCCGTCGCTCGGTCGCCTGCCCGCGGGTCACAAGCGTCAGCTCACTTTCTCGTGAGCGGGGACGCTTTTCGCGAGCGGGACGTTTTTCGTGGGAGGTGGTGGGGGAGTCGTGTTTTTAACCCTTTCAGCGGTCAGAGGTCGAACGGTCGAGATGGGTAACAGGGTCTGAATGGTCTTTGAATATGGAGACCTCTTTGAAGAGCCCTCGAGTATGAAAACGAGGAACTACATCACCTCTGAGAGGAGAGCAGAGCTGAGAGCTAGTTCTCGTTCGTGTCTGCTGGGGGGGGGGGAGTCTTTTCGTCTAATTGCTGCGTCGTTGCTTAGTCGTTTTTATCCGAATCTCGTCGTGGGTGGGTTTGAATGGTAGGCCAGAAGAGGCGTGCGATGTGGACCTACTTAGAGGGTTTTTTGCTATTTTCTTTTCGGTCGTGACCGTGTTTAATTTATTCGTCGGTCGTGACCTGATTATTGGAGGCGCATTTAGATAGGAGAAAGCACGAAGGATGGTCTCATTTAGGGCACTTTCCCGGGTGTAAGTGTTCGTATGCATTAGCGTAAGAAGTTACCAATCCTTTGGGATCTCATTGTCATTACCAAGTGGCACGTTAATGGCCAAGTGGCTGCTCGATGGAGGTGCTGCAGTCGATCCGTCTACTTCGGTCCGTCCACTGTGCAGAAACTGTGCCTGGACCTTTGGCAATTTTTTTTTGCGGAATCTCGATGTGACCAGAGCGTTTTTTTTGGCATCCCAGTGCATTGTTGGAGTCGATTGAATGATTCACAATAAACCGGAAAATTTGAGAAATTTTTTGCTGCTTCTTCTCGAGGGTCTGGATTTTTTTTGCGCAAAAAACGCTGAAATTGCTTTAAGTGTGCACAATAATAAGCAACAAAAAAGGAGCGTGGGGAAATAATTTATTTCAGGTCCAGTTTTGTCGCAACACGATGCAAGGAAGCAATTATTGCAGAAGATGGCCGTGTAGATGCTGTGCGAAAACCTCAATCTGATCGGAGGAATTGTGTCAATTCAAGAAAAGGCCGGCAAAAATCGACGCGCAGTTACGTCACTGAAGATGATAAAATTGGCAACTCTGACTTTCCCATTGGAATTTTTTTTTCGAACAAATGACCTTGGAATGTCCCGACTATGGGGAGAACTGCGATTTCGGGATATATTAATAATATTTATATGGAACTACATTTTTTTTGCGGAACCCGCAATTTCACACGCACTTTACACGGAAATGTGCATTTTCTGCCAATTTTAGCCACGAAGTCCGGCCAGGCGAACGTGCAACCGATGGCGTTTCACATCGATAGGACGCAGGAAAAATATGTATTTACATAGAAGCCCCTCCCGTGAGACCGACTACAGACGACACGGACGACCAGAAAAAAAAAACGAAACCATCGCTACAGTCCGAACCCGGCGTAGATCGCCGAGGGCTGACGGACGATGTCGACCCGGCCGCCCGGCGGCACCGTCAACTCCTCCCGGCCGGGGACGCACAGGCTGGAGTATTGCAGCTGGAGGGGAAAAGAGAGGTTAAGCGGCGGTTAGGGCCCGGTCAAGAGAGAGGAGGAGGCGGGGGACGTGCCTGTTCGCGGGCGTCGTAGACTTTCACGACCCAGACGTGGGTGAGGCCGACGTTGTGGATGCCCATGGTGACGATCATCTGGCATCCGCGTTGGTAGCTCGGTGCAGCTGTGAGAGGGGAATTCAAGTACGAGCAGGTCATTAGATACATTCAGAATTCGTTAGACGTATGTAAATTTCATTAGGTGTATGCAGAATTAGTATGTATGCAGAATTCATCAGATGTATGCATAAATTATTGACTAGATTCTTCTGTTAGCGTGTACGAGCCAATCTGAATGCGGATGTGGATCTCACTGAAGAAGATGAAGGGGTTGGACCGGGGGTCGAGGCGGCCGGGGGTGAACGCGACGGCGGCCTGGGTGAGGGCCATGCTCACGCTGGTCTCCCGAGAGGGCAACCCGATCCGCTGCTCTCCCCGCACCTCGTCGCCTTTCATCACCCGCACCGTCGCGGTTCCGCGGTCGGCTCCCGGGTCCCCTCCGATCCCGTGGTTCCGCTGGGGACAGGGATGCCGGGTGTGGGGTTTCAGTCCTGGGTGAAATTTCACGCGGTGGGATGTCGTCGGCTCCGTTAGTTTCGGTTCCCGCTCGTTCTCGCGACGCATTAGAGCGACATCCCAAATTTATGCATTCTAGCCCTCATGGAACGGATTCATCAAATTTTACTCGCCTTCTGTTAAATATTCATGGAAATTCGTGAGGAGAGCATGCTCGCGAGCTTTGGTGTTTGAGATTGTCATTACGAGTCGTATCTCGTAAACAAGCGAGTTTCATGTCGATGGCATGTCAATAATAGACTAATAGAGGTCTCTCTTGTCTGTATTGACCCACTCGACGCTCGTTGCAGGATTCAATTCTATTGCGATTCTTTTGATTTAATTAATTTTTGCATTGCGACAAATCATTTGCGTTCGATTTTCCGGATGCAAAAAAAAGGAGCTCCGTTACGAAGAAGTACCATTAAGTGTATTATTGCCGTTTAATCGTTCCTGGAATTCGTCAGCGCCTGCATTCCAATTGAAATGCTTGCCTTTTTTTTTCCTAAAAATGAATAGTGCCCTATTAAAAATGCATATGGACGCTAATATCGATGAAGTCACTGCGAAGCAGAAATACGGCGGAAAAGTACTCCCCGAAATTATACGGTACTTTCTTGGTCAAATTTGAGCCAATTTGGACCATATATGGTGACACAGTTGCCATGCACGGAACCCTTCCAATGCGTGTCTGCATGACCGATTTCATCGCGTGCCAAATCGATTTGCGAATTGCAATTGTGAATGCCAACGACGAATGAGAATGCCCCACGCTCGATGAACGCCTTCCCGCCGTGTGGATCCGGATCCAAAAATAGAGTGTCGACACACGGAATCGAGGGGGAAATCAACCCGACCGTGTAATTTCCTCGGGGACGCCCGGTCCCCCTAAATTACACCAAGTCGGTGGGAATTCGGGACAGCTGAAGCCGTTCCCACCGCTCGAAGCCTTCGTTCCCACCGCCCACACGGTTATCGCACGAAGCGACCTTATCGATGAAGAGGCTCGGTTGACCTTGTTTTCTCCGTAAAAATTCAGGCGGATCCCATCTCGACATCACAGATGCAATCTCCATCAATTTCATAAAAGCTCGCAGGCGTCCATCAGCTTCATTAAAATGTCAGGCAAGAAAGGGTTCTGACGCTTCCACCGCCCACCGAGATCGCGAAGCCGATTCGACACGAAGACGGGTAATGGATCCGTGAGGGAACCGGCACGCTCTGAACACGATATACCGGATTTTGGCCAATTATGAAATTTGAAGAGTGAGATAATATCTCTCTCGATTTGTTCTCAATCGCCGTTATCGGTTATCGCCGTTCCTGAATGAAAAGTTAAAATTCGCATCAAAATTTAATGCTAATGTCGAGGATATCGAACCCCATTTCAATCGATCCGACAGAGATTTCAGGCATTGATCTTCAAATCAGCTTTCTTCCTTCGCCTGATCGTGCAAAAATAAGTTTTTTCTCCGAAGAGAGAGTGGGCCTGTCTGGCGTCTATACCCCACTCGCCCCCTTCAATTCCTCCATGCGATGCGAGGAGGAAATTGCTTATTGATGCGAGACTGCAACAAATCTCGACCAGGCAGATATCAATCGAGTTTCATAGAAATCCGCCCCCATAGACCTCTTCCTTCCTCGCGCGGGAGAAGGGAGGTTCCGAGCGATCGACTTCCTCCTCGCCGCTCCTATCTCTACGCGTTTGTGTGCAGCGACGAAAGAACATCCTGCTGCACCGAGCCTTCTCCACTAGGAGGAAAGGCGAGCGGCATGCAGTGTCCGCCTCCTTTGGGGAAAGCTTGCCTTTCTATGTTCCGCCGCATTAATCGAGTCGCACGTATGCCCGAGAATCACCTTGAAAAGGGATGATTGATGGCGCTTTCTCGGGTCTCGCAGATACAATGTACAATCCTCCTCCATTATGCATAAATTATATATTGAGGAATAGACTCCCGATGCACGACTTTAAACCCTATTGTCTTATGCAGTCACGCTCTGCTCTCTCCCCTGGTCTCATTACGAATGAAATACCTCCAAAATTGGACAAGAGTAAGAATAAACCATAGGAGAACCTTATCAGTGAATCTCTATTTCCGAATCCATTACGATACTTGATTTATAATTCCTTTAATAAATTAAATGTTCTCTTCAAAAGTCTTATTAACGCATGTTATTTTGGTATTGAGTACCATATGCCCGACCAATGGAAATATGTATAATTCGGTCATACATCCTCAGATTAAATTAAAGCTTTCGTTACAATCTCCTTTATCTATCTTCTCCAAAAGAAGAAAAGGGCACGTCAGTGATGAATGGATGCACTGTCTCTCCCCTCCCCCCCCCTCCCACCTCTAACTGGCTTGGTACTCGTAGATATAAATAAATTGTGAAGTTAACATTTTTAATACGCTCATCCTTTACAACTGTAGCTATCATAGAGTCCTATGCTGATGATTGATAGGATTGCCTCGCGTGATTTCCGTCGGGCTTCTACGGCGTAAACCTACTTTCTGATTATATTCGAAAAACGAAGCTGGGAGATGACGTTGCTTCCGTGCGGCAGTTTATTTCGCTCAGGTAGCAGTGTTTCGTGCTTTTCGGTCATCGGAAATCGTTTATTAGAGTCGTCCGGACTCGCGAGTGATCCAAGGCGCACTCGACGGCCTTCGTGGTTAGGAACGATTGAAACCGGAGCAATCGTCATGCCCTTCATTGGAGGCAAGCCTGGTGGGATGCATCCCCAAATTATATTTTTTTTAATGCAACCCTTACATTTGGTCATCCCACCTGCGACGAGTCGATCGGGTATCGAACTCGCTTTATGGATGTCACCAAGGCCAAGGGGGCTTACCTGTCATCCTGCCGTGACGAAAAAATACCCCCCCTCCCTTCTGGTCGAGCAGAGCATCCGTACCCATGAATGATGGAACAGCGCGATAAGTTTTTGAAATCCTTGCGAGTCTGTAGGATCTAGACATTGGTTGCATTTGGCTATTGTCGTGCCTTTCAAGGAAGTTCTACGATTGTCTTAATGAAAGTGACTGTCGATGACCGAAACGAGAACGACTGCAGTAGACGAGCACCTCCAAAGGGATCAATTAACCAGATCAGGTTTTTTTTCGACCTCCACCTCTCTCACAAGGTGAGCAAGACTCGGGAAAGGCATGACTCCCTCCCTCCCCCTCGGCCAGTCCAAATATGAGATGAAAGCTCGTACTGGAGGGAGGAACATAGGATCCCTAAGAGAAAGGTATCCTTTGCTACCCCTGCTTGCGATGCCTTGATTGATTGCCGCTTCTTCAAAGTCGAAATCAAGGTGAGTGCTTGGTGGCAACAAAGCCGACAGTAGACATAGATGGGTCTCTCACACAGACGACTTCCCCCCCCCCCCCCCCCCCCCCCCCCCCCCCCGTCCCCTCCCCCTCTCACCTTCAAAGGAGACGAAAGGAAAACTGCTAATGAAATCCACCAAGGGCCTGAGATAAGTGAACCCATGAATAGATTTTCCTCTGTTGGCCAGAATCCGTGGCGTAGGATATTGAAGGTCGGGACGCGAAAAGGGATTCAGCCCCTATTGATATCCGGGAGTCGTGCTCATTGGGCAAGGAGCTATACGCCCCTAAAGATAATATTTTCGGTGGGGGCGACTTCGTCGACTCAAGGAGCT